TACCATTATAATGTTTTACAAGGGCAAAGCAAAATATGACTAAGAAAGTGAACTCACGTTTTGCTAGTTTCATTTTGCATTAAAAAAACCCCCCTCTTATATTTAGGGCCTGATCCTGCCACTCATGCTCAGATTGAGTTGCACTTTTCTCCTGAAGCAGTTCCATTCATTTCAATGGGGCTACCAGAGGAGTAAGATATTAACACCCAATGGGTGAAATCCTGGCCCCACTACAGTCAATGGGAGTTTTGCCATTGACTTCATTGGGGCCAGGATTTCACCCAAAGTGTGTAAAAAGGGCAGAAACCAGCCCATACATGATCTAAAATGCATGACATGATGATCTTGAAGTTTGGTCAACTTTGAACCAAATTCATGAATTCAAATGGGCTTATTTCCCCCATTTAATGAAAACGAACATCTTAGGTGGCATTAAAGGGAGGTTCTTAATTTAATATTTTATGAACACTGGGGCTGATGCTGCAGCCTGTCACTCACACAAGTAGTTTCTCTCATGCAAGTATCCATTGCCATTAGTGGGACTACTCATGTGAGTAATGGCTTGCAGAATCAACCCCATGGTGATTATACTACTCATTATACTGGAGATCAAAGGACTCTGGCCAAAATATTCAAATATGGGTGCCTAAAGCTAGACATTTAAATCAAGGTGTCCTGTTATTCAAGGGTGCTGAGCATTAGCAGTCCCTGATGAGGGCAATGGGAGCTGCTGTTGCTAAGCATCTATGACAATTGGGCCACTTTGGGTAGGTGCCCTAACATGGATTTAGCTGCCTAAATGTAGGCACCCAGGTTTGAAAGCACTGGTTATGTCAGGTTTTGATAGAAAAGCTTTCCCTTCAGGAGTAGTGTAATATGAAAGTATGTTAACATTCTACAGTCAAAAATGCTGAACAAAATAAAACCACTGGTGTTAAAGAGACAGATATTTATTACACGCACACAACAAAATTTAATGAAGCAAAAGTTTTGAACATAAAATGGGCAGCATTCATCCTTAGTGAAACTCTCATGAATTCAAGGGGGTTATGCATCAAGGATGAATCAGGCCCGATGTCAATGTCACTTCAATAACTACTATACAATATACAGTATACATGGATGAGAAAAGCTAATAAAATTCCCAGTTAATTAAGAATTAGTATCAGATATTGGTATCAGGACCTCATCTGATATTTGACATTCTGATAAACTAATTTGAAAATACAGTGCCCTTTGCGATAGTTATTTCCCTACCGTTTAAACAGAGCTGGCTGAAAAGATCCCAACTTCAAACATCCTGCTACACCTTGGCCTGAGATTTTTCAGACCTATTATGTCATCAAACATTTGTGGTAGCCGTTTAAAAAGGGTGACCTGGTGAAATACACATTACCAATGTGGTACTTGCAGAGCAGATATTGTATGCTAAATGTTGCAAATGAAGATAGAAAATTACCTACCTGTTCACAGGACAAACCCTGGACACTTCAGAAGAGGAGTAAATAAGCTGCGTGTAACTGGAAGTGTAGAAGGGCAACCTTAATACTAATCATCTACTTAGAGGGGTATTAAAGCTCAGCTTCTAGTTTCCTACTGTACTATCTTAGTTCAGCTAATGTTCCAAGGGCTAGAGGTTTTACCCACAAATCTCTGGACAAATCTCCCACTGACATCCATGGGGATTCAGACTAAGGAACAAGGTAAGCGTAGGATCCTACCTTTTAAACACACCAGGTTTTGCCCTCTCTGCTCCATGTAGTTGCCAGTATTTTAGTTTCCAAATGTTAAAGTTCAAAAGAGCTGACTGTGTGAATGGCTGCATAGTATCTTTCCAACCACTGCAGATGCCAGGTTGCCAATGTAAATTCTCCATATATTTTCCCTCAAACTTTTAATGATAATTAAGACAAGGAGTGGTGGAGGAGAAATGGGAAAGGAGACCAACTCATTGATGTAGGCAGGAGCCTGGAAATTGAAAGGAGCCAGGATGCAAAAAGAATTCCAGAGGACAATGTAACTGTGTAACTACATACAGTAAGCATGTAAGTGCTTGAATTTGTATCCACTGAAGCCACTGGGAGTGTTGCCATTCATACCAACAGAGATGGGGCAGTCCCTAAGAGCAGAGTAGTATTACCCACCATGAGGCTATTATTTCTGCCTTCTTTCTCATTCTTAGACATAGATCCTTCCTCTCAATAAATCAATCAATCAAGATTTTCTTCTTGTTGTACATAGTGTTAGCTGTTTTTTTCACTCCTAAGTCTGGGAGAAACAGTTTAACACCAAATTGCCACATTTCCTCCCTGTAAAATGACTGAATGCTTTTCACCTACAGATGTATGTGTCTTGAATAGCATATCTGCTACGTGAATATCAGAGTGGGTTAAGATTTTACACAGGCAGAAGTTAGTATATGATATGCATATGGCTTCAGATACTCTTTATAACTCTAAAAAAAAGTATGTAGGTTACAGCAACCAAACTTGTCTGTTTCCATAATATTTATTACAGAAATTAATTAGCAATCAGGGACACCACAAATATCAGATTTTGAAATATGCTATGCTGCAGTCACAGTGATTGATGTAATACCTAAATGGAGACTTAATGGTTTAATACATGACCTACCATATCCACCAAGCCTTACATAATTTCAAGTGACTTCTTTCAAACATTTTAGTACTAAAACATAAAATATCTTTATTACAAAACTTAAATGATTTCAAAGTGATTTAAAAGATATTTAACATGTGGAAAATGTTAGCCTACCTACATGCTTAGGATACTGCGTATACTTTTTTTTTAATGCTTTTAAAAATATATACACCATTCTTGCTCTATGTGCTTTGCATATATCACTATTCATATTAGTAACTATCAGAGGTGGTTCCATTTTTAAATTCTCATATGCAGTTATGCAAAATTAACAAAGTGCAGAAATACTGTAGCAAAACATTACAAAAATATTTTGTCATTTCTTCATATGGGTAATGTTTAAATTAACGGAATTAAGTTAAAAAGTACTTAAATATATCAATGCAACTCAAACTGGTCCTAGACCACAGAGTTCTATGCCCTACTTACTACAGAGTTCACTTTTAATACACTAATAAGTTCTAATACACTGACTAGTAAAACATCATTATCTGTCTAGGTTTTTATAAGGTCACCCATCACCATGGTGTCTGAGTGCCATTACTTCAATCATTTTTACAGGGTACACTATTAAATAAATTATTACATATTATTTGTTGTGTGCTGGCTGTGGGTGTGATGCTGCACAGGGCAGAGGAGACAAGGTCCCTGCCCACAAGGAGCGTACTGTCTAAATGAAATAAATATGAACAAATACTAAGAAATCAGGTTGCATCTGTGAGCACGGACATACCAGGGGAGCTGCATTCAGTCACTACTCTCAGAGTAGGCACATGCACAAGGAGCTGGCCAGGGGGCTAGTAGTACAGCTGCAGGTATTGTCTTCTTGCACACTTCTGGCTACTCAGCTTCCCTTCAATGCCTAACCCTTGTCCGAGTGTAGGGTTATTCCCCATCCCCCTCCTCCTCACCAGTCTGGAGCTGGGGAGGAAGATTCCCCCCAAACTATTCCCTCTTAGCGGCTTCCTCCTCACCTCAGGTCGTGTCACCCTTTTCCCTTGAAGAAAGTTTAAAAACAAAATAACCACCCCCCCACCTCTCCTCAAATTTGTACAAATGCTTTGCAGGTCATCTTAGAGCCATTGCTGCAAACAGTTACTACTGGGTGCAGTCCCACTGACTTACCACCTGTGGTGAACACAACCCTCTGTAATAAGTGCTGGCAGGATTGGGCCCTTGTCCGTCTATCCAGGTTCTCCTACAGCACCCATCACTGTGGCAAGTGAACATCTCCCAAAGTGATGAGCTGTACAAATAAGATACGCTGGCGTTCCCTTGGTTGAGTTTTAAAGGTGGAACACGCAGGATGTTCTGCAGAAGCTTGAAATATTCTTTCCATGACATGCAGTCTAATTATGCTCGTATTAATCTCAATTGTTATTTTTCCTAAATCACCTCCAGACTATTAAATGTCACTGCTCGAAATGCAACAGTCTCCACCAACCTGTTTGTATTCTTAGCACCTGATCATCAACAACAACAAAAAATAAAAAAGACGTGGGGAGGTGAATGGGCTCTCTAGGTGTTTTGCAATTACATGACACTAGAGATGGGTCCAAGTCCAACCCTAAACCCACCCCCGTTGGAAGGAACAAAAGTTTAAAATGCAAACCTGGATTTTGATCCCAATTTTACAGCTGGCTTTATCACTGTAATGGGCTGAACCAAAACCCCAGACTTGAATACCCCTGAATTTTGCAAAGGGGAACTGAACTCTGCCTCCAAATTAAGTGTCTCAGCCCCAGCTCTACTTTAAATGGATGCTGATATGGTCTCCTCTGCCTGAACTATAATGTCTGAGTGAGCAAGTCAGCACGCATATGAAAAGGCCAACATGGGTCTGCAGAAGCACTTCTCTCCCTCATACTGACATCAGAGCTGTCCCCACGGTCAGTGTAGTAATTTGCATTGGCTTTTTAAACTACTGTAGGAAGACCTTCCATTTTCTATTGCTCCACTCTTCTGCGGGCACAAAACAGTAATTTTATTCTTGTTTGTTGTTAGACTCCCTTCACAGATGGAATAATGAATGCCACAGGAAATCTAACTGGGTGAAGACTGCTGCAAAATAAATCCATCATATCAAGCCAATGAGAGGAATTCCTAGGGAAAACATCTCACATGTGAGAGAAAACAGCACCATGACAGTTTATAACATAGTAGTTGTTACCCCAGGAGAGAGATCGAGCATGTTGTTCCCTTACTGGTGATCTGTCAAAGAACATGGAGCACCAATACAAATTTGTCTCAAACAAACTTTCTTCGTAGGGCTCCAAAACTGTAAAGTGCATAGCTGCTGGATATAGTATCGCCCTTTGTAAAATGCAGTGGAGAATGGACAATACTAAGAAAGAAAGGAAGGGTTTTTGTAGGCTGGCATATGCTTTATTCCTACTGCTGATGTCCTGATTCCAAAGTAGTTTTTAAAAGTATATTCCATAGTAAGCCACTGCACTATATCCCAGTTGTGGGGAAATGAGCCATAAAAGTTTGCTGTTCATTTAGTCTTTGAGGACAGGGTGGCAAATCCTTTTTATTTTTGTATTACACTCTTGTGAGAAAGCCAAGTTTGAAACTGCTGGGAATTTGTATAATTTCCAAGGCATGTGGAGATGGGGTGTAAGGAAATGTCACTTGAAAGAGATATTTGGTATCTAGCATCAATTGTGGAATATCCTCTCGATTATTGAGCATAGCCTGCAAATAGAACAAAGAGAGATTTACTGTCAAGAAGATACGAAGTGGTAAAACCCGAAAAGGCTTGCTTTCTCATTATTCTAATGATTTTTTTTGTCAGTCTCAAAGGGTACAGAAGAGCAGTAACTTTTGTTCTGGTTTGAATTTAAAAGCCAAGTATGAACACGTACCATTGTAAACAGTGTGTGCAAAATATCGTAACTTGAATGTGTGTGTGAAAATAATGTAAGGCTCTTACCTGGACTTTGCGAACAAACGATGGGGACACTCTTTTCTCAAAATCATCTATAGGAGTGTATGAATTGAGGATCTTTACTATCTGCATAAATGATAAAAGACTTTTAATAATTGTAACCCATGCCAGAAAAAAGGAACAGTTTGAAAGGAAGAGGCATTAAAATTATGCTCCCATCCATATCTAACCGACTGAGGGCACTGTAAGCAATTGTACTGTGAGGAGATAGATTATTAACTGGCAAACTAGTGAGTGATTCTGTATGTGATAATTGCCTAGGCTCATCCCCAAACGTATCAGAGAGGAGAAGGGTGAAGTGGGTAGATGGTGGAAATGGCTGAACTGATTAAAGGAAACCCATTAAGGAAAAAAAAGTTTTGTGACAGACAAAGGAAATGATAGTGGAGAATAGAGAAGAGGACAGGTCTGGAGCAGGACCCAGACGGAACAGGGCAGATAGGCATCCAAGCCAGAAAAGTAGAAAATACAAACAAAGGAATCCGAGAATCAAACATTACAGCTGGGGAGGCCTGGGTTGGAACATTTGGCAGGAAGGAGCCGTTATAAAAGTGGGATGCTCATCACCGTCTGCAGCCAGGATTATTTCACACATGAATTATAAGATTCTGCAATTGGTGCTGCCAACAGAAAATGACAGAGTTTATTACCTGCACAGCAGACAGGGATGTGCAGTGTTCATATATCTCCTTTGCATCATCGTCTGTGATCTTTTTGACCTGAAGGAGCCAGGCTGCCTGAGAGAGAGGTTCCAAAGTTTCCTTGGCAGAACTGCTCTGCAGATTCTTTTCTTTAAGCCATTCTTCTAAGTAGCTGATATTACATCTGGGTTAAATCAAACACAAGCATAGCAATGTCAGTTTCCCTTCACACACTAGTAATAATAAAGCAATCTGCAAATGAATGTCATTAAAGAAACACTGTCAGTTTAAAATTCATACGTATTAAGCAAAAAATATCTTTAGAAAACACCCCCCCTTAGATTATTAAAACTGACTAATTTAAAAATCTGATTTCCCTTTCATCATTTTATCCTGTTCACACTTTGTATTTCACAAACTTTGGACAATGACAGTTTCTTTGTTGTTTATACAAAGGCCCTAGTCAGTTTCATACATTAGTAGGATGTGGCAGCATTACATGGGATTGTGTTAAAATACTGCTATTCCTTTAAAAATACACTTTCACAGCATCCTCAAGAGAGCCAGGAGATGATAGCAACTTTTGCACATTCCCAGCCTGGACCAGATTCTCATAATTGATGACCTATAGGTGAAAGCCCCTGTCTCCCATTGCCACTTTCCCGGACGATTTAAGGCCTGTAGGCTTTATCTATTGATTTTCTTACAGCTCTGTCTCCAGACTGTCTAATGGGATGTAACTGAACTGCAATGATTTAGGAGCATATTCTCCTCCTGATCCACATAAGGGCAAAAGGAAGAGGAGCCCTCAGCCAAACCCCTGCTGGATTTGCACCTGATTCTTGTCTCATCATTAAGGGTGGGAAGATAATTCAGCAATTCTGCCAGTCGGGGAATGTTGTATCTGCTCTCCCCAGTAAAATCCACTATAAAATGCCTCTGTGTGTAAATTAGCATGGCAAGAGCCATAGATGTGTTGCATTTATTGTCCCCTTTAACCTGCTCCAGAATGTTCAGGGGCTTCTGAGTCTCTGCCCCTCCAGACTGTACTGCGTGTCCCTCTATTAATGTTACATGTAAAGTACACTTGTGATAAGCACTGTATCATGGAGTATGCTAGGATCAGCAAACGAATTCACAGAAAAGTTAAAATCTACCTTTTCAAACCAGAGGGACAAAAATAATCACCACGGAATGTTCACAGTGTATCCAATGGCACAAGTGATAGAACTACAGTAAGTTAAAAAATCCCCTCTCTCAAAAAACTGCTTGCTGAATCTTTATTGGCTTTACCTTATCTGCATTCCTTTCCTACAAGAGCACATGTCCTTGCGGAGGAAAAGACTATTAAGGGTGACAGCTCCAATCAGAAAGAAAAGCTGCTTCACTGCCTGCTTTAGAAGCTCGGTGTCCAAGCCATTCTGGCACATTGTGCTATAAAAATAGCTGAGCTGTTGCAGGATGGAGGTCATTGTGTAGGTATCGGTGTCGTCTATACTAGAAGAACGTTTACGGAATCCTGTAGGTTTCATGCCAGAAATTCCTTGGAGACTTTCATGTTCAAGCATACCTGGTACTGAAAAGGCAAGAGGAAATCATGTGTAACACCAACAACATGTAGGGTCCTTTTAATATGGTAATTTGGTTTTGGGAACAAATATTTTCAAGCTGTATCGTTTAAAGTTTTTAAACTGCAGTTTCTCATTACTCCAGTAATAAAGGAGGACGGGGTTTGCATGTGAAAATTGTGTGTGCTTTCAGGCTAGATTTCAAGAACCTCATCTTTATGTGGCAGCTCAGTACGGTAGCCCAAAAGGGAGAAGGGGAACACTGTAGATGAAGGAAGCCATTCCTTGCACCACATCAAACAAGATTAGCATTGTTAGACCTTTTGGGTAGATCGACACTCCTGCTTCTTTGGGTGGTGTCTAGCGTACACTCCTGCATAGCCCCCCAGCATAAGTATAAATAGCAGTACAGCCGGTGAGGCACGGTTTAGATAAGTAGAGTAAAGACACGCCGGAAGGGTGCTGGTATGTATGTGAGTACATATCCTACATCATCTCGACTTGTCCAAGCTGTGCCTGCCTGTCTAGGCTACTATTTTTAGCAGTGTAGTGTCCTGCTGCCTCCCTGCTGCTGGAGCCCTTCTCTGCAGCCTCCCCTCAGCTAGAGGGGGAAAGGCTCTGGCAGGGGGGAGGCAGCGAGGAAAGGCTCTGGCAGGGGGGAGCTGCTGAAGCCTTTCTCTGCTGCCTCCCCTCTGCTAGAGTCTCTCTCTGATGCGTGTAGCTACATGCTGCAGTGTGCATGCAGCCTGTTTTTCACTGCAGCAAATAGCTACATGTACTCCACGTGACGACACCAGTGGTGCGTAATGTAGACATAGCCTTAGTGTGAGGTAATTTGAGAAAACTAAAACAAACAAACTACTGTCACACTATCATGAATAATTAGAAAAACGCCACTGTAAAATGTCTAGTGAAAACAGCAATACAGAAATGCTTAATAGCTTGCCTTCGGCTTGGCTGGTTAGAAATAGAGGGGGTGGGGTGGGAAAGGACAGGATGGAAGTAGAAGCAGAAACATGTTATGCAATATTTCCTATCTGAAACCCACCTTTTTAGGAAAATAAAATCAATCAGCCCCCTCCCCCTTCAGACCTGTCACGTGTTGCTAAACACTCAATTTATACATTGTCCACGGCTGCCCTAGCTAGCCCTTTGTGCTCCGGGGCCATGCCCACACTGAGAAACACTGCTGCAAGGGGGAAAAAACATTCAAACTTCTGGTGACTGTACAGTCAATGTACACAGATGTATAGATATGTACACACATACGTGTGTGTGTGTGTGTGTGCGCGCGCAACAGGGCATAGTTTACCCCTAGTCTTTTGTCTCTGTATAAGATTTATTCAAATACCTTAGAAGCTACTAGTGCATTTATTTTCAATGGTCATTTTCTTCCTTCTTACCTATCATTGGCTGAATGTTATTCTCCATTACAAGAATGAATTGGTGATAGATACGAATGGCCAAGTCACTAAGAATTTGTCTGTATTCTGAAAGATCAAAATGCTTCAAACAGTTCATCTTCTGACGTGGAGTATTTTGCTTCATGAATTCCTGAAAGACAGTTGTAAATGTATCAATATGACAATGCTGTTAATGCCATCATTATCAATAGATCTGAACAGTGCTACACATGAACTACATTAGTGAGTTCTGTGTGTATGCATCCAGACTCTCAAAATGAGTCTAAGTTACTGCTGTCTTGAGACACTGCTACTACCCATGGATTTCATCGACATCAATAGACACATTTTTCTACTTAATGCTCATTCGGTGTCTGATCAAAAAACCCAGTGTAGCTAAAGGAAAGACTCACATTGACTTCAGTGGGCTTTGGATCAGGTGCTAGATCATTTACTTGGAAAGTGTCAGATACTTTTTGCAGGAAAATCACTCTCTTGTTTAAACTGTATGAGAGAAAAATTCAAATGTGCCTCTTCAATTTTTTATGGTTTCAAATGCTCTCATTTTGTACTTTGTAATGTAATGTACTCTGATATGAATATTAATACGGCAGCATTTTCAGCCTCTCAAAAACAGGGTTAATAATAGGTTCCAACAGCTGACAGACAACATCAGCAGCTCAGGATTTTTAAACCTGACCCAAAGTCCCACATCTGAATTTTGTATCTTCGTAATGAGAAGAAAAATCCGGGATTGAAATGCTTTTAAGCTCGAGGTTTTGAAATGCAAACTCTCTCAAAGTTTGGAATGTTCAGACTTGCATTTGGTTCATTACAGAGATGAATTAAAGCTGCAAACTTGGATCCAAACCCAGAACCATGTTTTGGGTTCAAACACGCCTCCAATTCTGCAGTTAAATTGTGAAAGAATTGCTCTACATTGCCTTGCCTTTATTTCAGTCAAAGGCCTTTCTGATCAAACTTTGCTATTAACACTATAACCACCAGGGAGAGTATGGCAGCTTGCAGAGTACAAAGAAGTGCTTACAGCTGGGGTTGAGTGAAAGGTGTTTTCACTTTGTAGGGATTCATGAGAATACGGTCTTTTAGTTTCAGACCATATGCGTTTCTATCCCTCATTCATCAAGTATCACTTTGAGTTTGGGGTTTAAAGAACCGAAAACTAGCAATGAAATTCAGCTTCATCTGGTTTAAGATGAAACTGACTATTTTACTACCATGTGTCTTTGATTTCATTCGGAGTTGTAACTTTACTTATTAATCAAATGGTAACAATGTCTGCCTGAAGCAGTAACAGCTGAGTGAAAGAAAAGGTGAAAGTTATTTTTAAATACAACTAGTTGAGCTCCTGTGGTCCTGTTCAAATTAAACAGAAGATCAAACTAAGCAGCAAATGGATTAAATGGCACCCAAAGTATGTAACCGTTTCTTCCTTCTTGCTTTAACAACTGTTTACTGTTAGTGTTTCAAACATCTTCCTAAGCTCCTTTGGACAAGCTGTTCTATTCCATTGGATCACCTCTAAGCCAAAAATCACTAGTACAGAAGGATATGAATTTCAGGCCCTTTTGGTGAGATGGTCCCATCTTATGATCCCTGCCCCATTTGGTTATAAAATTCAGTGAAATTATGTAAAATGTGAAGTGATGAAATTATTCCTACCTCTTCCCCGCTGTATTGTTTCAAACAGTTAAGAAAATGATATGTATTGGAGAGCCAAAAGGACAAGATCTCAAAATCTTCAGTGTGTTCCTAAACAATGACATATAAAACAACCTTTTTAAACAACATGATCCCTTAAAGTTTAATTTGATTTTATTATTGAAACTTATGACCAACACAGAGTTAGTGCAGTGAAAGGAGCAAACAGTATCTGTAAAGCACTATCTATATACAAAGTGTGCCCATGTCTACAATGGCCTTAAAATTTTTGTTTGTATATAATTTAAATGCAGTTGTACCATGGGTTGGCTAAACAGTGTGTTTGGGGGCTCCAAAAATTACTGGAAGTCTTACTGCAAAAGGACTCAACACTGTATGCATACACAACTGAAATTCAATTATATGCACGTATTGCTTTGAAATTCATCTGTTGGGCCTATGTAAGTTACAGATGTGTTTAAACATGGATCTTGGTAGCAAGGTGCTGACATGCTTTCCTTGCCCAGTGTAAGAGGTGAACTGGATTATAAATTTGTTTACAAACTTGAGTTGTAGGTTCTGTCTATACTACAAGTTAAACTGCATAAAACATGTTTCACTTCCATCTGTGCCACAAAACAGAACTGTGCCTTTTGCTTTACTGGGTCACTAGGCCACAACGTAATATCCAGGTATTGCCATGGTAGAATTTGTAGTGCAGATGGGACCACAGACAGAGGGTCCTAGCTTATAGCATGGTTTTGTAAGTTGGTTTACAACATGTTTTTTTAGGATTCAGATCTATTAGTGCCATGCTAGCAAGAACTGTGTATACAATTACACCGTTGGAACTGTAGTGGCAATAGCACCCTAGGTTCCACACAATGCAGTCTTGTAACAAATACACTCTTCAAACCTCATTTCTGTCCAAAAAGAAGCCCAATATCTCATGTTTGGCAATACCTCATGCAACAAACTCTTACCATGGCTGAAAACATAGTAAAACATTTAGCTACTAACTTTTAGATGTACTGTATTGGATGTTATGTTTCCATTTTGTAAGCTTCTTGGGAGAGGGCAATCTTTATGTAGTATGTATATACTGTGCTAGCACAATAGGCCCTTTACCCCTGGCTGGGATCTGTAGGCGCTACTGCAGTGCAACTACCAACCAAAGCATTGTCACCATCTATGATATTCCTAACTCCGGAGGACCCGTGGATGACAAATATCAACATTTTTCCATGTATGATGTGTGCATGTTGTAAGCCCGTAAGTGCATGTACAATGAAACCAATAAAATAGTGGAATAAAGCAAAATATGCAAGAAATATTCCTACCTTAATAACTTGTTTGATACCATTAGTGGTTATACTCATGAAAGATTTCAGCATGTCACCATCATTCAGATAATCTGCATATCTCACACACATGAACAGGATGTAAGCTGGGAGGCCCGGAATCATATTTACTACCACTCCACGTGGCTTTAGATCTGAGCAAAGCAGAGTCAAAGCGGGTGTTCATTACACATTGTAGATACAAAGGTAGTATCACCATCTAGTCTTACTTAAATAGGTAAAAAGCACTGGATTAATTTCTAACCACGCTCTTGATTAACCAGTTTGTGGATGAATTCTCTTTTCCTTTATAATTACTAGAGCTGCTCAGGAAACTGCCATCAGAATGACTTCCCAGTGCCGAATTCGCCATCTGCAAAATTCAGATTTTCTGTCAGAAAATCATTCCCAGCACCATGGCTCACCCACTCCTTGGCAGCCCAGGTTTTCTGTCTCCCGGGCAACCCACCAGGTGGGCTGAGTTCCCTGCCTCACCCACAGCTCCTGCAGCCAGCTGCTGGGGAGCTGGTGCTCCATAAACTCCCAGCTTCCCACTGTGGGGGAGATGAGGATTGGCAGTGGCCAGGTGGGCTGCAGGGGAGCTGGGTATGCCCGAGGAGCACTGGCTCTCTGGCACACAGTTAGGCAAGGGAGGCAGGGAGATGTTTTAGAGAAATTCCATTTCAGTTCTTCTCAAAATGTCCCCTCTCATAGAAAATTTCACATGTCCAACTTTTGGTTCCGAATCAGAATGGATTTTTTCCAGGAGCATGAAATTTTCTGCAGGACAGAAATGTTGGTTCTTGCTCAGCTCTATTATTACAATGCAATACATTTCCATTTGTCATCCCTCAGAAAAATATATAAAAAAAAAAGTTTTGCAGATAGGTAGGAAATACTGTAATAAGTTTATAAAGTACAGTATGTCTTGTTCAAGGAAAAAGGAATGGTAATACATGAAGGTGGAGTCGAGCAGAGGAAAAGAAAGCTCTTATTTGAAGCAACAGAGAGGATATAAGTTTTCTTGTACATTAGTTAATGAGGGTCGGGGACCGCATTGAAAACTAGCAGGGTTTACTGTTAAGCACGAGTTAAAGCAAGAAAAAAAAATGGTTTGACGGTGAGATTTAATGAGTGGAAACAACTCAGAGGAAAGGAAAGAATTCCACATGGAAGGAGAAACAGAAGTGAAATTTCAACCACTAGTGAAGGGGATGCCAGGGAAAAAATAGAGGAAACCATGACCCAGAGATGCTATGTCAGGGGTGGGCAAACTACAGCCCGCAGGCCAGATCCAGCATGTCAGGACTTTGAATCCGGCCCGTGGGACTGCCACCCCCGCAGCCAATGGGAGCTTCAGGGGAGGTACCCGCAGGCAAGGGCAGAACGCAGAGCCCTCTGCCCCCCCATCTCCCAGGGGCCGCAGGGTCGTGGTGCCAGCCGCTTCCAGGAGCGGCGTGGGGCAAGGGCAGTCAGGGAGCCTGCCTTGGCCCCCATGCGTGCCGCTGCTATCCCGGAGCCGCTCCAGGTAAGCGGCCCCGGGCTGGAGCCCACACCCTGCACCCCACACTCCTGCCCTGAGCCCCCTGCCTGCACCCCAACCCCTGCCGCACCCCGCACCTCTCCTGCACTCCAACCCCCTGCCCTGAGCCCCCTCCCACACCCCTCCAGCACCCCAACCCCCTGCCCTGAGCCCCCTCCTGCACTCCAACCCCCTGCCCTGAGCCCCCCTGCATCCCACACCCATCCCTGCACCCCAAACCCCTGCCCTGTGCCCCCTGCCCTGAGCCCCCTCGTATACCCCACGCCCCTCCTGTGCCCCAACCCTTTGCCCTGAGCCCCTTCCTGCACACCACACCCCCTCCCACACCCCGCACCCCAACCCTCTGCCCCGCCCCTGCATGCAATTTCCCCACCCAGATGTGGCCCTTGGGCCAAAAAGTTTGCCCACCCCTGTGCTACGCCTAGATATTATGGTGACTGGTGCTAAATAAATACCCTAGATAGATAAGAAGAGCAAGTGGGTAGAAGACTGGATGAGAGACCAAAGAGGAGAGGTCACACAGGCCTGAGTCATACAGCAAGAACAGTCCAATTGAAACATTCTGTATCCATGAAGTTTTGAGAGAAGGGGCTTGTGATTTCAGCAGAGGGGTACAGACAACTTCTAGCAAAGTTCTAGAGATAATGACTTACAGACAAGGTAGACCAGGAAGGAAAATTAAACTCAGGTCCTGGAGTACTCGAGATTTGTAGTTTCAGAAGTGAACAAATAAGAAGATAGACAGTAGAGTCAGAGATATGAGACAAATGAGTTTTCACCAGATAAAATACTTCCGTCTTTGAAACACTTTGAATCAAGCAGTAATAGAAAGTAATAGTATGGTGCCCCTAAGAGTAAAGTGAGAGAGAAGGGAGATAAAGAGATCAAAGTTAATAATGAGTACAACTGAAATTAAAAAATCTTGGAGTTTTTTTAACATGCTATATCGAATATAATTAAATGTGTCTGTAATTCAAAGTGTAACTGAAGTACCAAGGATGAGATTTTTAATAATTCTTGCTTCATCTTCCTTTCTGTACTCCATCATTCCAATGTACTCCTTAGGCACAGCTGGCACATGTGTTTCATTGGCTGTCAAAAGTAAATGTACTCTTACTTACAGGCTAATGTAATGTTAACATGTTAAAATAAACTACGAGAAACATGCAGTTCTTACTGCCAGAAACACTGTAGCTCCTGTTTGCAATAATCATCTCAATTTATGGCTCAAGTATTATCGGTCAATTCCTGCTCATATTACTCACATGAGTAGTCTCACTGACTCCTGTGGGACTACCTGCACTAAACAAGTGAGGCTTTGGCTACCCATCCCAACATTAGTCAGGTTTTCAACCTTTAAAACAACTCTTAGAGTGAAAACTAATTCTGTAAAAAAAAAAAAAAAATGTACACACATACACACACATTTATAAAATGGGCTGAAAAACAGGGAAAACATGTATGAAATTTTTGCTAGTGCTTTCCCATCTTTTGTTGTTGTTGAAAGATTGAATTTCACAACCTTTTGACCCTCTTTCTCTCTCACATACCCATATACCCTCTATTACACATTCAAAACTATTTTAAACTGTAAAAAATAAGTCCTACCTTTTTCAATAGTCTTGGTAAGATTCTTGATCTGATCCTGCAATTTTTTTATTACTCTGTCTTTCATGTCTAACTCTTCTTCAAGATTCTACAATAATCAAATAAAGATGGAGAGTAACTAGTCAATAGACATCTGCTTCTACCTCCACAGAGGGCAATAAAACTGAGATCAGGAGCAATGTTGCAAAGGGGTGCATCCTTACTGGCACTGCTGATGAACCAATCAGACAGCACATGCAGAAATCTGCTCAGTAGCTGGTCTGACATAGGTAAATATTTATCTGGCTCGCTAACTTCATTTCCCTTTTAGAATATTTGGTCCCAATTCTGCAAAGACTTATACTTAATTTTCAGATTGTGAGTAGTCCCACTGAATACAAGCTTGATCCCGCAATCCCTCTGTCCTCAAAATCAATGGGAATTCCAAGCAGAGGCTTGAGAAATGGGGTAACATCGCTCTCACCCCCTCGTATAATATTTAACTGCACTATGCCTTTAAATCTTTTGCTCGATTCGGCTAGACTGTGACTTGAAGCTAGTACCTTGCAGGTTGGATGGTTTAGGAAGAGTTGCACTTCAATGGGAGATTATGGAGGCAAATAAAATATATCTGAGAGCACAGAGGAAGCACACACAACAATGACATGTGTGCCTTCTTCCTCCTGCTGGCCCTGATCTGGGGCAGCAGGGAATAAAGCCATGGGCACGTCCCTCTCCAGCTGGGATTTCCATTGCTACTGTTGGCTCTACAGTTCCTCATTCTCTGCATGCCAGGAGCACAAGGACTGAATCTCTGCCTAGGCCAGTATAGAGATGCCAGGGGGAGGGGCTTTTCCACCCTCTCCTTGTGCAGCTGCACCGGGCTGGGAAATGTCTAGCTCTTACTGTGCACTCTGTATTTGTAACTGTGTTTCGGGGATGGATTAAGAGAATTTCATTCCTCACCATGTTTTCCAGAGTAAGATGAAATGCCTCCTGCTTTATCTTGCTCTTTACTTCATTCTCAATTTCATGTTGCTCCTTTAGGTGATTGTTTACCTCCTGAATTTCTTGGATTGTGACAATCTGCTTCTCTTCTTTTGTGTGTATTTCAGTCTGGTCTTCCAGTGTTCTAGAAATCACAAAAAGTTTGTTCCCTTATTCTTCTTCTCAGAAAGCACAATATTACTTCAAGATGGGTTACATGTTCTGTCTCTCTCAGACACCTACTGAGCTGGCAGCAGGAATTTCCCACCTCACCATTACATCACCCCAGTAGCGAATGGTAGTTGCTAAATACAATATAAGGTTTTAAGTGTCTCTACTCAGCCTATGGCATTAAATCCACATTTCACAAACAGATTTAAAATACGGCTGTCAATTAACTGCCGTTAACGCCTGCGATTAACGCACAGCACAATTAATGCATTAATCGCAGCACGGCAGCATCAGCTGCTCTCTAGAGAAACTAGGTCAGGTCAGGTCAGGCGCAGTAACACAAGCTGCCACCGGAGGGCAGGCGGAAAGAGAAGAGGCTACAGAAAGACTGGTTCTCATGCCAGCTCCAGTGGAGAAGTATTTTTTAAAAGTAAAAACAGGAGAGTGAGGGGTTCGCCTGAGCCACCCCGCCCCTTGCAGGGCACTCCAGCCGCCCTCCCCATGCCTCCCGGGGCTGGGGCTGACCCACCTCCCACCCCCCACATCTGGGGCTGAGCCCCCCCTCCCTAGCGCCGCACTGCCCACGCCGGGATCTGTGCCGCCCACAGCTGGGGCTGACAACACCTCCCAAGCCCCATGTCGCCTGCAGCTGGGGCTGGAACCCCCCCGCCTGAGCCCCATGTCGCCTGGGGCTGACCCCCCCGCCAAGCCCCGTGCCGCCTGCACTAAATGACCTATATCAGTGGCTCTCAAAGCTGGTCCGCCATTTGTTCAGGGAAAGCCCCTGGCGGGCCGGGCTGGTTTGTTTACCTGCCACGTCCGCAGGTTTGGCCGATCGCGGCTCCCACTGGCCGAGGTTCGCCGCTCCAGGCCAATGGGGGCTGCAGGAAGCGGCGCGGGCCGAGGTATGTGCTGGCCGCCCTTCCCACAGCCCCCACTGGCCTGGAGCAATGAATCGCGGCCAGTGGGAGCCATGATCGGCCGAACCTGTGGACGCGGCAGGTAAACAAACCGGCCCGGCCCGCCAGGGGCTTTCCCTGAACAAGCGGCGGACTGGCTTTGAGAACCACTGACCTATATGACAACAAGAAGACTACAAAGTTGGAACTTCTGAAAAATGCACTGGCTGTTGCTTTGACTGGTGATCACTGGACATCCTTGAGCAATCATAGCTATCTTGGTGTCATGGCACACTTTACTGATGCAGCATGGACACTGCAGTCGTTTGCTGTAATAGTAACTCATAACAAAGAGAGACATTATGCTGAAGCACGTGCAGAGCATTTCATGGATGTTGCAAAAGAATGGAATATTCAAGAAAAGGTAACAACAATTAGTACTGACAGTGCACGTCACGTAGAAAACTTGTTGGCCATTTCAAACACAGTCCAGCTAATAGTACAGAGCTAGGAATATAACAAGCTTCAAACGGACAAAAACAAGAACCTCTTGTACAAGATATTCAACTAGGGCTGTCAAGCGATTAAAAAAATTAATCACGATTAAAGTTTTACATTGTTTTCTTGTTAAGTGCAGTTATTCTTTTTTACATAATTCTACATTTGTATGTTCAACTTTCATGATAAAGAGATCGCACTACAGTACTTCCATGAGGTGAATTGAAGTTTCTTTTTTATAGTTCAAATGTTTGTAATAAATAAATAAATAAATATGAAGTGAGCACTGTACACTTTATGTTGTGTTGTAATTGAAATCAAAATATTTGAAAATGTAGAAAACATCCAAAAATATTTAAATAAATGGTATTCTATTATTGTTTAACAGCACGATTAATCGCGATTTAATTTTTTTTAATCACTTGACAGCCCTAATTTAAAATAATATTTACCTTCTTTGACCTTCCTCTGACAGACTGTGATGCACCTGATTAGGCATTTCTTCCATTTTTCCTGTGATGATTAAAAATAAATAAATCCAACAACAAAAGAAAGACCCCTCCCAAGTTTGCTTATTGATCCAGGCTGGAATTTAGTTAATATTTTCTTACGCATAACAACCTCTTCCTATTTCCTTTAACAGTATTGGCTTACAAGGCAAATACTGTATCAAAAAAGTCCTTTGCTTACACAGCAACTGTTTAATAATAGGTCCAGTATGCAATGGGAACAGAGTGCCCATAAAAGGCACAGAATCAGATACCAGCTGGTAAATACTTATAGTATCAGAGCTATTTACAAGGAACACATCATGTAATTAAATGTTAAATAACTGACTATTTCCCCCTTCTGCACTATAGGGTGCTGATTACAGTTTTGGACTAGTGACTTTTGGAACTCTTTCAGTAATTACAATTTGCAATAAAGCTTCATATAAAATGAAAACATTGTTGAGGAACCAAGTGTTTATGAACAAGTGAAAACAGCAAATCTTTCATTGCTATGGGCCAAATCCTGACGGCCAGGATTTTCAGATTTTAAGTTTTTACTTAATCCAAACTCCCACTAAATTCAATGGGAGCTTTGCATGCATAAGGAATCCAAACTTGGCCCACAGTAATGGCATGGGACGTAGTAAATAAACCGCAGCCATGGGAAAGATTCTCTCATGCACCAGAACTCTATTCAGTGCAGGGGAGAAATGGGGAGATGTGGACCAGCTGCAGATCTGACACAATTTAGAGCTGCTGTTAAGCAATTCTAAGTTACGCCAGAGGCATGGAATCTATAAATGACCCACATAATTGGAGGAGTGACACAGCAGTGTTCCACTTTGCCCTCTCCCATCAAAATACCCCCCCTCCATGCTGGAAGGGGACAGGACAGAGTCCTGCCAGTGGCACCGATGTGCTAGTAGGGGGGTCCCCAGGCTCTCTGTACCTGTTTGCAAGACAGGCCCCACGTTGGTTCTTTACCTTTTGTCTTTGCAGCTTGTTCTTGAAGGCGTTGTTCAAGATCCATCTTTTGCTTTTGAAGTTCAGAAATCTGCTGTTTAAAGTCTGGGATCATCTTTATAAAGAGGAAAGAACACATGAATAATTTAGTCTCTCAATAGTTTACTTAAAGTTTAAACAGCTGAATTAGTTTAAAGGAAACTATGTCATGATTTTCATTTTTCCAGTTCAATTTATTTTTAGAACGTATTTCTTATATATTACAAAACACTTCAGAAAGAAATGATATTATAGGCTCCCTTTTTGAAATGCTTTTTCATCTCAGCAACTTCAAATTACATTTTGAAAATATGTCTCCTACGGACTCTTACTTTTTTCCAACCAAAGGAAATAACGTTATACACTACAGAATGCATTTCCTTCTTGGAAATGTATATTCCATTTGTATCAATATCAGTATGGCTCAGGTAGTAGCACTTTCATCTCTCGGTCAGAAGATTTTGTATTGCTCAAGTGTTCAAACAGGGTTTGGACTTATAACAAAAGCTTGTAATTTACTGGCTGTTTTATGTGAATAACTGCCCCTTGGTGGATGGAATATCAGTCTGCTCAAACCTATGGAGCAGTGGGTTTCACCTTTTTTTCATTTGCAGACCCCTAAAAAATTTCAAATGGTGCTGCGGACCCCTTTGGAAATCTTAGGCCTGGTCTACACTAGGCTTTTATGTCGACTTTAGCGCCGTTATATCGAATTAACCCTGCACCCGTCCACACCAGGAAGCCATTTAGTTCGACATAAAGCTCTCTTTAAATCGATTTCTGTAATCCTCCCCAACGAGAGGAGTAGCGCTAAATTCGACATGGCCATATCGAATTAGGCTAGGTGTGGATGGAAATCGACGGTAATAGCTCCGGGAGCTATCCCACAGTGCACCACTCTGTTGACGCTCTGGACAGCAGTCCGAGCTCGGATGCTCTGACCAGCCACACCCCCGGGAAAATTTGAATTCATTTTCATTTTCCTGTCTGGGCAGTTTGAATCTCAGTTCCTCTTTGGACATCGAGGGGAGCTCAGCAGCAGTGGCAACTATGCAGAGCTCTCCAGCAGAGATGGCCGTGCAATCCAATAGAAAGAGGGCCCCAGCATGGACTGATCGGGAAGTCTTGGATCTCATCGCAGTGTGGGGCGATGAGTCCGTGCTTTCAGAGCTGCGCTCCAAAAGAAGGAATGCTAAGATCTACGAGAAGATCTCCAAAGCCATGGCAGAGAGAGGCTACAGCCGGGATGCAACGCAGTGCCGCGTGAAAATCAAGGAGCTGAGACAAGGCTACCAAAAAACCAAAGAGGCTAACGGACGCTCCGGATCCCAGCCCCACACATCCCGTTTCTACGAGGCACTGCATTCCATCCTGGGAGCGGCCGCCACCACTACCCCACCCCTGACCGTGGACTCCGAGGATGGGATCATGTCGGACATGACAGCGGACGGGGAAGAGGAGGAAGGAGATGAGGAGGACGAGGCAGTCGACAGCGCTGGCACCGCTGATTTCCCCGACAGCCAGGAGCTCTTCATCACCCTTACCGAGATCCCGTACCAACCGTCCCCATCCCTTACCCCGGACACAGAATCAGGGGACGGATCAAGCAGTAAGTGCTGTAAACATGTAAACATTTATTTAAAACAGAACGGTAATATTTATACTATTAACAATGTATATTTATAAAAGTGCTGTAAACTAGTAAAAAAATAATCAGGTACAAAACAGGAATATTTACAAAGGTAACAAATGGGTTTTGCATGATTTCTCTGTCTTAGGCTCTTCTCAATTTAGTCCCAAGTATTTTAAAAAAATTTCACAATGTCCGTTACTACATGATTCCCAGGCCCAAGACGCTCCACTCCAAAGTCCCAGTGCACCTACGCGAAAATCCGGTCAATGTGGCCGGGGATCGACGAGAAATCCTCGTAGGAGAACTCCTCGTAGGTCTCGTGGAGGTAGAGCTCAAGCCTGTTGATCAGGTTCCGGGGTAGGGCGATCTTAGTGGGCCCTCCGTGGTAGCAGACATGTCCCCTCCATGCCACAATCAGGTACTCGGGGATCATGGCCCGACATAGCATGGCGGCATACGGCCCCGGTTTCTGCATGCTTTCCCGCAGCATGCGTTCTCTCTGGGTGTCCGGGATCCTCAGGAGGGTGATGTCGCTCATGACGCCCTGCTTTGAATTAGGGAGGGGACTGTTAGTATTGGGACTGCTTTACAGCCACGCGGTGGAGGGAGAGGGGCAGCATACAGGGATCTTTCCCTGGGACAGCCGCGAGGGGGTGGGACAGGGGCAGAGTTGATGCTGTCCTGATTGCTGGCAGCAGAGACTGGCATTGCTTTCAATGTGAAAGGAGGCCAGTGCTACAGCTGGAGTTTTAAGCAGCCACAAGTCTGCGGCTTACCATTATTGCCCGCTCCAGAAGTTCAGGTCTCCAGCCACAGTTCTCTGAACACTCCAAGACCTCCGCAAGTCCACAGGCACTGAAGGCGACGGCCGAAAATTCGACCTTGTCCTGAGTGCGCATGTGAGAGGTGCAGTGCATGGTCTTGTTCACAGAGAAAGACTAGGTTCTTTGTATACAATTTCATTTATCTGTCTCAGGAATTCACTCCCTTTTCACAATTCACACAGACACATCTGCGACTGTCTCCCAACCCAGCCTGTCAGCACACTCCCAGAGGCTAGCGCAGATTAGGCGGAGGAAGAAGAAGACGCGTGAAGACATGTTCACAGAACTAATGGGCTGCTCCCGAGCCCAGGCAGCCCAGCAGACACAGTGGAGGGAGAACTTGTCACAAATGCACCGAGCAGTCATGGAACGGGAGGAGAGGTGGCGTCAGGAGGACCAACAGGCTACTGAAAAGCTGCTTGGACTAATGAGGGAGCAAACGGACACGCTCCGGCGCCTTGTGGATGTTCTGCAAGACCGGAGGCAGGAGGACAGAGCCCCGCTGCAGTCTATCTGTAACCGCCCTCACCCGCCACCAAGTCCCACACCACCCTCACCCAAAGTCCAAAGAAGGAGGGGCGGCAAGGGCCGTTAAAACTTTCAGTCAACCCCTGCAGACTGCTCTAGCACTAGAAGGCTGACATTCCCCAAAATTTCATAAGTCCTTTCCCACCCACCTCACAGAAGCCCCCGTCCAAGTTTCACACCCCACGTTTCATGTCTGGTTCGCAATAAAATGTTTGTTTCTGTCCATTACTGTTTCAGTCAGGTTCTTTTGAGGGAGAGTCTGTCTGGAGGGGGGGAAGGGGCTTGGTAATTGGGCAGGACAGTGACCTTTAGCAGGGTACAGAGGCGGTGTCAGGTCCAGCATCAGGACACATACACAGTGCAGTCACTGGTTACCCTGGTCAGTCTGGGAGGTGTTTTTCATGTTCTCCATTGAAATAACCAGTCCACCAGTGCGGAGCCTGTCATTCCGGGAGTTTAGAAGCATCATTTGCATCAGAACACTGAACCCGCCCCCCGCCACAGTCTGCGTCCCCGGTTTAAAA